TAAAAGAGAAAAATTGATGGCCAAGAATACTATACCCAGCAAGGCTATCCTTCAGAAATGAGGGAGAAATGGTGTATTTCCCATACAGACAAAAACTGCAAGAGTTCACCACCAGACGATTAGCCCTATAAGGAATTCTCATGGGAGTCCTGCATCTGGAATAATCACTCACAGAAATACACAGGAAAGAACAAAACATGCTGGCTGAACAAAAATGCAAATGAGAAAGAGGAACTATATCTTACCACCTCAAGAAACCAACAGACATCAAAGACAAACAATAAAAGGGGAAGAAAGGAACAAAAGATATTTAAAACATCCAAATGAAGATTGATAAAATGCCAGGAATAAGACGGTACATTTTGATAACAACCCTAAATGTAAATGGATTAAATTCCCAACTCAAATTTTGACAAAGGCTGATTGGATTAAAAAGCTAGACCCAACTGTATGCTGTCTACCTCACTTCACCTGTAAAGACACACACAGAATAATAGTGAAGTCATGGAAAAAGATATACCATGCAAACAGAAGCCAAAAATGAGCAGGAATATCTATACTTATATCAGATAAAATAGACTTTTTTTTTTGTCCTTTTTGAGACCGGCCACACCACGCTCAGCCAGTGAGTGCTGTGAGCGAACTGGTCATCCCTATATAGGATCCGAACCCACGGCGGGAGCGCTGCTGCGCTCCCAGCACCGCACTCTCCCGAGTGTGCCACGGGCTCAGCCCAGATAAAATAGACTTTAAACCAAAAACCATAAAAAGAGACAAAAGAAGGCCATTACATAATGGCAAAGTGATCTATCCAGCAAGAAGACATAACAATCATAAATGTATATGCACCCAACACCAGAGCACCCAGATATATGTAAAGCAAAAGACCAAAAGAAATAGATAGACCCAAATACAGTAATAGTTAGGGACCTGAACACACCTCTCTCAACACTGGACAGATCATCCAGGCAACAAATCAAAAGAGAAACCCAGGATTTAAACTATGCCTTAGACCAACTGGACCTGGCAGATGTCTAGAGAATATTTCATCTAGAAACTACAGAATATATATTGTTATCAGCACATGGAATTTTCTCCAGGATAGACCACATGTTATGGCACAAATCAAATCTCAACAAGTTAAACAATTGAAATCATTCCAAGTATCTTTACAGATCACAAGAGATTAAAACTAGAAATCAGTAACAAGCAGGACTTTGGAAACTGTAAAAATACGTGGAAATTAAACTACATGCTCCTGAATGACCTATGGGTCCTAGAAGAAATTAAACAGGAAATCAAAAAATTTCTTGAAATTAATGAAAATAAAGACACATTATCCCCAAACCTGTGGGATACTGCAAAAGCAGTACTAAGAGGGAATTTCATTCGAGTAAATGCTTACATCAAAAGAATAGAAAGATTTCAAATAAACAATCTAACACTGCACCTGAAAGAAACAGAAAAACAAGAACAATTCAATCCCAAAATTAGTAGATGGAAAGAAATAATTAAGATCAGGGCAGAGCTAAATGAAATAGAGACCCGAAAAGTGATACAAAAGATCAATGAAACAAAAAGTCGTCTTTTTTGAGAAGAAAAACAAAACAAACCATTAGCTAGAGAAGACCCAAATAACAAAAATCAGAAATGAAAAAGGAGACATTACAACTGATACCACAGAAATACAAAGAATCATTAGAGACTGTTATAAACAGTTGTACACCAACAAATTGAAAACCTGAAGGAAATGGATAAATTTCTGGACACATACAAATACCAAGACTGAACCAAGCAGAAATAGAAAACTTGAACAGACCAATAACAAATGCGATTGAGTACGTAATCAGCAGTCTTACAACAAAGAAAAACCCAGGATGGGATGGGTTCACTGCTGAATTTTACCAAACCTTTTAAGAGGAATTAATACCAATTCCCTTCAAACTATTCCAAAAAATTGAAACAGAGGCCATTCTCCCAAACTCATTCTATGAGGCCAGCATCACTCTGATACCAAAATCAAAGATACAACAAAAAAAGAAAACTACAGGCTAGTATCTCTAATGAACATAGATGCAAAAATCCTCAACAAAATATTAGCAAACAGAATACAACAACATATCAAAAAAATTATACACCATGATCAAGTGGGATTCATCCAGGGATACAAGGATCATTAAACATATGCAAATCAATAAATGTGATTCACCACATCAACAAAATCAAGGACAAAAGCCATGGGGGTATCTCAATAGATGCTGAAAAAGCATTTGACAAAGTTTAACATCCCTTCATGATAAGCAAATTAGGTATAAAAGGAAATTATCTCAACCCAATATACAGCAAACCCACCACCAATGTCATCCTGAATGGGGAAAATCTGAAAGCTTTCCCCTTAAGAACCAGGAACAAGATAAGGAGGTTTGCTCTCACCACTCTTATTTAACACAGTATTGGAAGTACTAGCCAGAGCAATCAGGCAAGAGAAAGAAATAAAGGGCATCCAGATTGGAGAAGATGAATTCAAACTGTCCCTGCATGCATTCTGTCTCTTCTATAGAAAGAATCCTAAAGATCTGCAGAATAGCTCTTAGAGCTGATAAACAATTTCAGTCAAATTGCAGAATACAAAATCAACATGCAAAAATCAGTAGAATCTTTATAATCCAATAACGAACTAGCAGAAGAAGAAATCAAGAAAGCAAGCCCATTTACACTAGTCACCAAGAAAATAAAATACCTAGGAATAAATTTAATCAAGGAGGTGAAAGATCTCTACAATGAGAACTACAAATCACTGCTGAAAGAAGGTAAAGAGGACATAAAAAGGTGGAAAGACATTCCATACTCTTGAATAGGAACAATCGCCATTGTGAAAATATCCATACTACTTAAAGCAATCTACAGATTCAATGGAATCCTCATCAAAATACCAGTTTTATTCTTCATAGTAATAGAAAAAACAATCCTAATATTCATATGGAACAACAAAAGATCCCAAATAGCCAAAGCAATCCTAAGCAAAAACAAAAGAAATAAAGCCAGATGCATAACGGTACTTGACTTGAAATTATATTACAAAGCTATAGTCACCAAAACAGCATAGTATTGGCATAAAAAGAGACACAGGGACCAATGGAACAGAATAGAGAACCTAGAAATCAACCCACTTACTTACAGCCAACTGATCTTTGACAAAGGCACAAGAACATAAATATAAGACTTGAAACTATAAAACTCCTATAAGAAAACAGAAGAAGCACTCCAGGATGTAGGACTAGGCAAAGACTTCATGAATAAGACCACAAAAGCACAGGCAACAAAAGAAGAAATAAACAAATGGGATTATATCAAACTAAAAACCTTCTGCACATCAAAAAGAAAGAATTAACAGAGGGAAAAGATAACCCACAGAATGAGGGAAAGTATTTGCAAACTATGCATCCAATCAGAGATTGATATTCAGAATATACAAGGAACTCAAACAACCTAGCAGTTAAAAAACAAGTAACCTGATTAATAAATGGGCAACGGAACTAAATAAGCATTTCTCAAAGGAAGATATACAAATGGCCAACAAACACATGAAAAAATGCTCAATGTTTCTAAGGATCAGGGAAATGCAAGTCAAAACCATATTGGGTTATCATCTCATGCCATTAGACTGGCCATTGTCAAAAAGACAGAGAATAACAAAAGCTGCTGAGGATACAGAGAAAGGGGAACTCTCCTACACTGTTGGTGGGACTTTAAAGTAGCAGTTATGGAAAACACTATGCCGGTTCCTCAAACAAATACAGATAGAACTGCCTTGCAATCCAGCAATCCCATTACTGGGTATATACCCAAAGGAATGGAAATCATCATGTTGAAGGGATACCTGCCCTCCCATGTTTACTGCAACTCTATTTACTATAGCCAAGAGTTGGAAACAACCTAAATGTCCACCAGCAGATGACTGGATAAGGAAAATGTGTACATATATATATATATATATATATATATAAAATGTGTGTGTGTGTGTATATATATGTATACATTACACACACACACACACACACACACACACACACAGTGGAATACTACTCTACCATAAAAAAGAGTGAAATTCTGCCATTTGCAGCAACATGGATGAACTTAGAGAAAATTAAGTGAAATAAACTAGGCACAGAAAGAGAAATACCAAGTGTCATCATTCATCAATGGGAGCAAAAAAGTAAATAAAGAATCACAATAATTCATTGAACTTTCAAAAGGAGAGAACAGAACTGAGTCCACCAGAGGTGGGGGAGGGAAAGGGGGTAGTGAGAAATTGGTAAAGGGCCACAAAAAATGATTACATTGTGTAATGATGAATATACTAATTACCCTGATTTAAGCATCGCATATTGCCTATAGGTATTGATATTCAGTGCTGTACCCCACATATGTACAATCGTTTCATTAAATAAAAAAATATATAAAAATAAACTATGTAGTTCACCAAAATTTTGCCTTATATATTTTCTATATATCTAAAGTTTAGGGAAGTTTCCAGTACTTGAGAACTAACTGTATGCAGGGATGTATTTAATAGATAGAAAAGGTAAAAATCCACTGCTACTACCTTCAAAAGATTACATAACCAACAGGCAGACAAACTTATATGAATTTGAGTCCAAGTTTTATCAGCGTCAAGAGTGTTTTCCAGAATCTTAAGAAAGCACTTAGTATGGTCACCTCAAAGACAAGAAACATTAAATTTAACATCATTTTTACAGATGAGCCAAAGTGTTATTTCTTATATAGATGTGTTTGTGACCTAACCTACATTAATGTTCAATTTTTACTGAAGTTATTTTCCTTTTAGTAAATAGCGTTTTGAAAAACCAGTATATGCTACTACTTACGCATAAAGCATTTGGCACTTGACATTTGGAATATGTGAAAAAAAAATCTAAATTGTCTATTCTTTCTCACTTTTGAGGGCAAATATTTATGCAGAGCTGTTCTGATTTCAGGGAGAAAAACTAAACCACCACGACCAGATTCCCCAGCCACAACACCAAACATATCTGTGAAGAAGAAAAACAAAGATGGGAAGGGTGAGTACTACTATAATTTCTGCATAATACTTACAGGTCAAATAGCATTCAGATTATGTTATAGTGTGTGCATATTTTAATAAGAAACCACCAGCTTTCTTGATAAAGTGAAATGAATCTTACTGTTGCCACATGCTTATAAGATATGGTTTCCAATTTCTATAAAGAGACAGGTAATAAAGTAGCCCAAGAAATCTTTTTGAGTGATTATCAAAATAAACCATTCTTTCATTTAATAATGAGGTTCTTGGAAGAATTCAGCCAGGTTAGATTTTTTAGTTCATAGACACTTATAGGCGGCTACCCAGTTAGCTCAGTTGGTTAAAGGATGGTGTTGATAACACCAAAGTCCAGGGTTCAATCCATGTACTGGCCAGCCAGTAAAAAAAAAAAAAAAAGAAGAAGAAAGAAAGAAAAACAGACACTTTCATATATGTTATCCTGGAGTCCTAGTAGTTTCATAACTGTTGCCCACATTTGAAGAAAATTGTTATGGCTGATCTGCTGCCTGTAATATAAAGAGAACAACTGTTGAGGGGTTTTGTACAGCTCTTTCATGTTTCTTCTGTGGGCTGATTCTTAAAAAGGCAGAAAAAAATTGTCTCACAGTGCTTTTTCCCTAAGTCATTACAAGTCTAATTGACAAGATTGCTCTGTTCAGACATCTTATATGGGACTATTATTAAAGATCTTTAATAGACACTAAAAATTATGATCATTATATCACCAATACTGAGTTTTATAATATTTCTGTATAAATGTAGATAGAACTTAGAAGACTTTTATTTGTGTTTTATTGTGCTCTTATAAATGACATTTTGGTCATTTAAGAAAATTGTTATTGTTTCAGGAAACACAATTTATCTTTGGGAGTTTTTACTGGCACTGCTCCAGGACAAAGCTACCTGTCCTAAATATATCAAATGGACCCAGAGAGAAAAAGGCATTTTTAAATTGGTAGATTCTAAAGCAGTATCCAGGTTGTGGGGAAAGCACAAAAACAAACCTGATATGAATTATGAGACCATGGGAAGAGCACTCAGGTATGTGAAGTTTTGTAGTTTTGTGTTAAGGATATTTCCTCAATACTAAAAAATTAAAGGATTAAAGAAGTGGTGAATTTTATTTATAGAAGTGTCAAAACCACAATACTTACAGAAATCAGTATGCATTTAAGTTGAAATCTTATTCCAATGCAGGGAAATGTTTCCTTCCAAAAAAAATTTTCAAGTAGAAAACAGATATTTTACTTATAAAGGGATCAGAAAATGTGTATCCTCAGGAATGGTAAATTGACCATAGGGCTTCTATGTTTTGAGCCATTAAACTTAAGTTCAGCACAAAGTACAAATACTCTAATGGTAATGCAGGTACTTAATAAAAGGGTGCATGTTTAAATATGAATCACAAGTATACGGTGGAATAAATTAATGCTTCACGAATAATAGGAGACATTGTCAAAATTTTGAACTAGAGTACCATTTTATTCTTAAGTTCATTTTTAATTTTTCTGGGATCATGTCATTTATTATTCAAGATATGCATGTATTTGAGAAAGATTAGAAATGGGAATGTAATTTCTAGAGTATATATAATTTGGTAATCTTAAACTAGAACTATTTAGTTACTAGAACTATTTAGTTGTACTTTTAGGTTCTTGATTTTATTAAAGTCAATGACAATTATTATTTTTTTTTTTTTTGTCCTTTTTGAGACTGGTCGCACTGTGCTCAGCCAGTGAGCACTGTGAGCGCACCGGTCATCCCTCTATAGGATCCGAACCCGCGGCGGGAGCGCTGCTGCGCTCCCAGCACTGCACTCTCCTGAGTGCGCCACGGGCTCGGCCCCAATGACAAAATTTTGATCACTTCTATTGTACTTCATTAAATTTTATACACAAAACTGAGTCAGATTTACTGAATCAAATTTAAACCGGTAGGGCTGTTACAGGAAGCTATGGATGGGAAACAATTTCCTGAGGTTTTGTAGTAGGTTTGATTATCCCAGCAAGTTAGCAGAAGGGGAGAGAAAGGAGAAAAGTGAAGGACTAGAATAATCCACCTACTTTTTCAACAGTTTCCTAATCAGAATTGGTTTTAGATTTAGTTGGTAATAAGGACTTTTCTTTATCTGTGCATAAATGTAAGTGTATCTTATATAAAATAAGTGTCTTTCATTTAGAAATTATTTTTTCACTTGTTTGATTCCAATTTTAAAGTTTTGTTCATGATTAGGAAAATTTGATTTTGTTGAATATTATTCTAATTTATATTTGATTGAATAAAATATTGATGAAATTGTTTGCTTTGGATAGGTACTATTACCAAAGAGGTATTCTGGCAAAAGTGGAAGGTCAGCGCTTGGTCTATCAGTTTAAAGATATGCCAAAAGATCTTATCTATATAGATGATGAGGATCCAGGTTCCAGCATAGAATCTTCGGATCCATCATTATCTTCAACAACCACTTCAAGTAGGAATCAAGCAAGCCGATCGAGAGTATCAAGTCCAGGGATAAGAGGAGGAGCCACTACAGTTCTAAAACCAGGGAATTCTAAAGCTACAAAACCCAAAGATCCTGTGGAAGTTGCACAGCCATCAGAAGTTTTGAGGACAATGCAGCCCCCACAGTCTCCATATCCTACCCAGCTCTTCCGGACTGTTCATGTAGTACAGCCAGTACAAGCTGTCCCAGAAGGAGAAGCAACTATAACCAGTAGTATGCAGGATGACACATTAAGTTCTTCTGTTCAGAGTATTAGGTGAGAAAACTACAGTTACCGATGTATATATCACTACATAATGCTTCTGACCAGAGCCATTTTTTGTTGAGGGTCAAGATTCAGAAGTGAAAATAAAAATATATAGACTTCAAGCTAGAACTCTTGGTCAACAGATTGTTTCAGGAGCAATACATATATCAGTCCTCTGATTATATCAATGATTCCTTATTTTTAAACTTTGACATTATTCTATCACTTTAGTCTACTATACCTTTGTATAACTGGATTGATCCATATAAGGAGTGATCCTAATGTAAGAAAATCCAGAAAATAGTTTCAGACCTTTTTTCAAACCAGGTCAGAAGCTGCAAAAATTCAACATAAATCAACATATTGTGACCTTTCAGAATGCAGTAGGTTCCACAAAATAAATGTTACTCTTTAGGAAGATACTATCTTGGAACAGTTCTCTAAAATTCAAACAAGTGGGAAGGCCAAAAACCTAAGGTTCTCTTTTTCAGGGTTTTAGAGTGACAGAAGTTGGAAAAGTAATTTTTTGGTTTAATCAAATCAGATTTGCCTCACCAACCCAGGAAAGATGCTAAACAACAAATTGACAAGAGAATCCTGTTTTAGACTGGTCTTCTGCAGAAATTTGGGACTGGCTGGTCTCAGCCAATTTAGAATGGGGATAAGGGGTGAAGGCAGAAAATTAGATGCATATTTGTAGTGTTCTGTTTTTCTGTTTATACTTTCATGAATTTCCAGAACATGAATTATAATAAGACATAGCTTTTCCAAAGCTAATAAAAATGATTCTTCGATTATTTTTATTAGTAGACTTCAGTCCTGTATTTATATATTCCAGAATGTAAATGCTGAGGATTTTGTTCAGTTGATCCTGAAGTAAGTTAACATTACCTAGACAGACTTGGATAAGTGAGTCTTCCTTGTATAGTCAATTTAAATTTTTGACATTGTGAAAATCTAATTCTCTTAAGTCTTCAGTTGATTGGTAAGAAGAAGAGTACAAAGATCACTTTTTTCCATTTTAATTGGACAGGAATGGTAAGTCTTAAACTGTTATTAAGGAGTACTTATTTAGCTTCTACTCTTTCTATTTGCCTTTGAATGTTTTATGTTCCTCTATTTCCTATTGGTTACTTGTGTTGACTGAGGATCCGGTTGGAAGTGTGTGGTTCTTCTCATTCGCTTCTAGACTGTTTGTCATCTTAACCACTGTGTGAATTTGTGTTGATAGGAGACATATGATGGCCACAGCTTGTCACTGGGACCCCCTTGAAGTGATTCAGTAGAATTTTTAGCATCTGAATTCAAAATTTCCTTTTTAGACCATGAGAATAAAAAACAAAAAAGAAAAATAAGCAAACAAAAAACATCTCTCACTTTTAAAGATATTAAATTGTGGATATTGTATTGAATACTATATTACACTGAATGCCAATTTCTGAATAATACCCAGTGCCACATATTAGAACATTGTAAGACTTGCCAGGGAAGTTCAGAGCTACATTTCCTCTTGGTGGTTTTCAAACTGGAATCTTTATTTCCAGGGTCCCTGAGGGTTCCATGGGCGGCTCTCTCCCTGCTTCCTGCTTCTTTTTTTTTTCCTTTTTGTCTTTTTTCGTGTCCGGCAACGGGATTGCAACCCTCGGTGTTGCTCCCACACCTCGGCTCAGCCAGTGAGCGGGAACCGGTCTGTATGTGGGATCCGAACCCTCGGTGGGAGCGCCACCGCACTCCCAAGCAGCGCACTGTAGCAGTGCGCCACCGGGCCGGCCCCCCTGCTTCCTGCTTCTAATATATTTTCTCTTCAGACTAACTTCAAAGTAAAAGTCATCTTTCTTTTCTATTTTTTTTGTTTGTTTTTTTGGCAGCTAGCCAGTATAGGGATCCAAACCCATGAAATTGGTGTTGTAAGGCTGCACTCTAACCAACTGAGCTAACTGGCCAATCCACAAGTCATTTTTCTAAACTAGCTTTGTTATACTGTCTTCTTGCAGCTTTTGTTAGATCCGCTCACACACAGGGTGCAGTCCCATATCTGTAGCCTGAGCTGCCAGCTCTCATCCTCTTTTCATAATTCCTTCCTTGCTTTCCAGGTAAAGCTGACTGCTTGCCTCAGTCTGTTCCATCAACCTGGTGTTTCAGTTGATTTTAATATCTGTCTCTTCCTGTATATTTAAATCTGTAGGAGCCATACTTTACTCATTGTCAATTTCCTAGCACCTAACATAGTATCTGACATAACATACATTCATTCATATTTATAGAATTTATTTTTCAGTAGTATATATATTCTTTATCTTCTCTTAGGGTAATGAGTTCTCTAAGTGAACTACTTACAGAATGAAGAAATACAAAATTTAACTTTTTCAAACTTTAAAACATACATTCTTATTGTAGCAAATCGTTCCTGTATTTATATGTATGTATGTATGTATACACACATATTCTTTAATCATTCGTCTTTTTAAAAAGCTTTTCTCTCAAATGGTTATACCTTTTATTTCTTCCCCCAAATTTTACTTATTTATAAGCAGGTAAGCCTTTAATACAATGCATTTTTTTTTTAACCTGAAAATACTAGATGTGGAAAGCAAAACCTAATGAATAGGAACAGTGTCTGAATACTTACAACTTTTAACCTTAAAATACTAGATGTGGAAAGCAAAACCTAATGAATAGGAACAGTGTCTGAATACTTACAACTGCTGAATATTTTTACTTAGATTTTGCTATTATCATGTTCCTTTCCATTAAATAGAAAGAAAATAAGTTTCAAGCCAATTGTACATAGCACTCTGAAATTTTAACGTATTTTAGAGTAGCTTTTTATAAAAATAATTAATTTCTGGTTTAGTGATTCCTTGTATTTACATTTTTATAATTAATCAACTTTTTATTATTAAAAAATTTCAAAATATGGGAAAGTTGGAATAGTATAATGAATACTTATTTACCAGCCACCTAGATTCACAAATTGATAGCATATCTCCTTATTTGTTTTCTCTGTGTATTTACTTTATATCCTTTTTTCTGTTTGACTATTTGTCAAGTAAGTCAACATCATCATGACATTTAACCCCTGAATATTTCAATTTATAACTCATAGAAATAAGACATTATCCTAAATAACCACATTATCACCCATAAGAAAATTAACAGTAGTTTGGCTATATCATTATTGATTTTATAACTACTTATTAATAAAACCGGAGACCTTTTAAAGATTTTTTTTCCTGTGGTTGAGAGAAGGGGAATACATATGACTTAAAATTAGACAAATTATTACATTAATGTCACAACAAGAGCTGATACTTATAGAGCACTCTTTACAGATGCTCCTCAACTTACAATGGGGTTAGATAAACCCATCGTGAAGTCAAAATTGTTAAATCAGGGACCAGCCATCTTCGTATTTCATACACTTTATGTATGGTGATTTATAGAATCCTCAGCTCAGTGAGGTGTAAGTAGCATTATCCCCATTTTACAGACAAGGAAACTGAAGCAAGGAGAGGACAAGGAGCTTGGTCACATCGCGTAAGTGATGGAAATATTGTTTTGATGCAAGCCGAAAGCAGTGAGCTTAATGACTTGCCACACTGCCTAGTAATTTACATAAGTCTATGAATTATCAGTTATTTACAGTGAGGGAGCAACATGTCAATTTTTTTCCTTTGGTCATTTCTTTTCATCTCACATAATTACATGTATCTATTTTGAATCACTTAAGTTTTTTTTATTGATTTATGGTATATGTGCTCAGCTTTTACAGATTTCAGTTTGACTTTGGCTTCATGTTAGTCAAACAACAATAAAAATAAATCTGGTAAAAAATTGTCTGAAAATTGTTGCTTGGTAAACTTGGAAGTCCATTTACCTAACGTAACTTCTTTCTCTATAATATTTATTCAAGCAGTAGTAGTCTGTCTTAGGGTCTTTTAAATAAATTATCCTCTAAAAATATATAATGTATAGGTTACCTTAAAAACCATGTCATGGAGCAGGAAGAATGCAGACATGACTTTCCAGTCCTCCACCCTTGCCAATTATTAGATGTGAAATTATATCAGAGTAACTATTCTGTTTTCTCATTTGTAAAATAAGGATTGATAATACTCAACCTTAGAGGTAAATGTGATAATTAAATGATACTTTCTGACACTTTGGTACATCTTGAACAAAAGCTAATAAATGTTACATTGTATATCTTCCTTAGCCTCAGAAATTTTGATGAATTATAAATTACCAATATTGTACTGGTTGGTTATAAGCAGCTTAGGAGATTTTTAAAAAGCAGTTAACCCCTGTACTGGCCAGCTGCAAAAAAAAAAAAAATAACAGGAAACTATAATATAACCAGACACAATCAACAGCTTAATCATTAACTAAGAAAAAAAATTTTAATTCCTGTTGTTGGGAAAGACTTCATAATATTTTATTCTTTAATCTTTGAATTTTTTATTAGTGAAAATTATTTTAGAATTTGTTCAAGTAAGCCAATAAATTTACATTGTAGATACTGTAGATAAGTATATATATTTTCTGACAGATGGCAGTCAGGTATCTCAGGAAAAGGAGACATCTTTTTCTCATTTGAACAGAAGCATTGAAGGCCTAGTGGTAGCCCTGATTAGTGATATGGAAAATTTCCGAGTACATTATTACTTGTGCCACACCTTACAGAAGGAAAGAGGAAGTGGGGAGGTGTGTATTAAAGAGCTGTAATTGCCCATAGATTAAGGATACATGTAATAGTAAATATTCATCTTTAGCTGAGGTTATTCAGGACTTAAGAGGTGGCAGTATGTTGTAATTGTTAGGCACACAGGCTCTGCAGACAGTTGACCTCTTACATAACGTCACTTTATGCAAGCTGTTAATCTCTTTGTGTGATTTTTTTCATATGTAAAATGGGGATAATAGTATTTATAGGTTGGCAAAGCTACACATATTTATAGATATAGTCTGGTGCTATTTGCCAGGAACTATTTTGTCTATACATACATGTATGTAAACTCTTGGCATGGGTAGCCCATGGGGCTTTTTTATTTAAAAAAAGGTATCTGGCTGTAGGGTCAGGTACTATAAACCCAGACTGATATTCCACGCAAGATTCCCTGATTCAGGTTGGCAGGAGGAGAAGGGAGTCACAGTGTATTTTGGAAAAGCTCACTGGCTCCCAAGGTGATTCTGTTTCCTCCCAACTCAACCTTGCCTGCACAGTAATATTAGTACATCTGGCTTTTATTCCTAGCCATGACTTATCCACCTATTAAATCTTCATAACTGAACTCATATTCTCTTCTAGCTCTGTACTTCAAGAGAGCTGTTAATATCCTGCTGTGTACACTGATGCTCATAATGGTGACTTGGGTGGCAATCTGAACTTGGGAATCTATCCTACAAGAATGAGTGGGCTCTAGTCATTCTGTGTCTTCTCACTTCAGTCTTCTCTTGAGTTGTTGCACTGGGTTTTCATTTTATCTTTCCTCCTAGCTCCAGAATTTCATTTCTTACATATGTGACAGTCCACATAACTGTAACTCACTAAATGTAGCTTTAATAATCTACTGGTAATAATATTTGGCTTATGGGGACTAATCTACCTGTTAGCCATTTGAAGTAACAATCAAGTTTCTTTCATAAAATAACATTCAGAGGAAACAGTTGCAATCCAGATGCTGAGTTTTTTCAACTGCATTTGTGTTATATTAACAATGGCCATAACTACAAATTTCACAGCTGTGAAGTTTTAAAATTTGATTGACTTATAATGTCATTTGTGTAGCTTTTTCTTTAATAAATGGGATTAAAAACTTTACAGAAGCTAGATTTTACATTAAAGGATTTTATATTAAGTTGTAGATTTATCACTAATGTTTGTGAAAATTATTTGAACCTAGAAACTACTAAAACACACTTCTACTTATTTTTGCCAAAGTTTGGCCTTATTTTTTGCTCTTTGCCATCCTAAGAACCCTTACAAGGTAATTATAGTCATGACTTGTTTTATGTAAATATGATATGAATTGTGAGCTATTAAAATTCTTCTAAAAATCCGGTCACATGTACATTTAAAACTGAGGGGGTTTGTTTGTTTTAGTTAATTGAGTATTTTTCCTCTTTACATGTTAAAAAACAGGTTGAGAACAATTATAAGAAGAAGTTGAAGTTTGGTAATTGCTGTGGATGAGCATATTGATATTATCCTTCAAATATTAAAATAACAAGAGCGAATCAAAAAGTTTGCTTTTAAATTCCTAATTTTTTTTTCAAGTAGCTCATACATAACTTCCTTCCTAAGCATTTTGATATCCCACTCCTTCCCCAACAAAATTGGTTCCCCATTTGTGTTAAAGTGGCACTTTGTACAGGCCTTTTTTTTCATAACTGTGGTATCATAGTTAGTGGCCTGAGAATTTTGTGTATGTACAATGTTTAATACAAGATGTGGCACAATGTTTGTTATGCTGTGTTGAAAATATGGGAAGTAGCATTTGAAATGTATAATGCATATTTTGTCAAAATGATTTGTCAGGTGTTAAAGTTTTAAATGATGTAGAATATGCTAATTGTCTCACTTTTATTTTATAATTTCAATAGGACTATACAGGCTGCCACCCAAGTTCCAGTGGTCGTGTCTCCTGGGAATCAGCAGTTGCATACTGTAACACTCCAGACAGTGCCACTCACAACGGTTATAGCCAGCACAGATCCATCATCAGGTGCTGGATCTCAGAAGTTTATTTTACAAGCCATTCCATCATCACAGCCCATGACAGTACTGAAAGAAAATGTCATGCTACAGTCACAGAAGCCAGGCTCTCCTCCTTCCATTGTCTTTAGCCCTGCTCACGTACAGCAGGTTCTTACTAGCAATGTTCAGTCCATTTGCAATGGAACCGTCAGTATGGCTTCATCTCCATCCTTCAGTGCTACTACACCTGTGGTGACCTTTTCTCCTCGAAGTTCACAACTGGTTGCTCACCCACCTGGCACTGTAATCACTTCAGTTATCAAAGCTCAAGAAACAAAAACTCTTACACAGGAAGGAGAGAAAAAGGAGGTTGAAGATCATTTGAAAGAAGATACTGAGAAAACTGAGCAACCGCCACAGCCTTATGTGATGGTGGTATCCAGTTCCAATGGATTTACCTCCCAGGTAGCTATGAAACAAAATGAACTGCTGGAACCCAACTCTTTTTAATTAACATGCCAGAGAACTTATGGATAATTATTTTTTAATTGAACATTTTCAGCTGTATGCAAACTAGCTGATTGATTGTAAGGTAAATTCTACAGAGGTTCCTAATTTTGTAATTGTTAAAAATAATTTAGAGTTAATTTTGACTTTGTTAGATGAGGGAGGAAAACCCAAGTGTTTCTCTTTGTTTTCCAAATGTTTTAGAATTCAGTTGTGAAGGAACATGCATTTTATACTATGAAGACATTCTTTTGAATTTTTTTTCCAGTTTCTATATCATAAGCATTTATAAACTTCTTTTCTAATTTTACATTGTATTAGCTTTTCTGATTCTTTTGTAAATACAGTACTTAAATATAAGGCAACAGGAAATTTATATAGGAACTGTTTTCATTCCACTTGTATATGTTAAGTCTTGACTCTTTCAAATGCAAGAACCCTATTTTATACTTTGTTAAAATTATGATGTCACTTAGATTGACTTTAGTTGGCTACACTGTATAATGAATTATGAATATGTAAGATAACATTAAAAGTTTAAACATGCCCATGATATCTCTGAACTGTTTCAGAAGTAGGATAGTATGAAAGCATCAGCCTAGGAGTGGCACTCCCACTAACTAGCTGTGTAACCTTGGCAAGCCACTTGATCTTTTTGGGCCTTAGTTCTTCTCATAAAAGGAAGGGATGCATTGGAGTAGACTAGAAATTGGAGTAGAAATTGATTTCCAATTTCTCTTCTACTTCTAAATTTTATGATTCTAACACATATATTTTAAAGTTATGTCAGTTAATAAATCATTATCAGTTTATTTCCCAATGTAAATATAGCTACAATATTGCAGAAAAATAAGCGGCCTCACAAAATTCATTCTTCTATTATCAGTAAGATCTGCCATAAACTCTTCCTAAGTACTCTGTTCATTAACTCTGTGGACCACTATGCACTGTGGTCCATTAGTAAACTTATGTTGCTGAATGCTAAGTGATACATTGCTATTCTGAGAGTCAAGGCTCTTTCTTAATGGCCAAGAAAGAACTTGAGCCTTGGGTTAATCTGGCTGACTTGTCAGTTGTTATAAAAGCATAATTGCTTTATATTTTGGATAATTTTTTATTGGATATGGGGGGAGGAGTGAACTGCATACAAAGATAACATACATATATATCCAAGTTTCTGAAATAAAATAGTCTTTAGATTACTTTTTGAACTGTAAATAATGTACATTTAGCATCACAAGAAAAATTGTTTTCTGCAAATTTTTTAGTATATTTAGTATAGCAGAGAAATTTTTGTAGATGAAAAATCATTATGTTAGAGTTCTAATGTTACATGTTTTCATATTACAGAGTGAATTTGTATTTTAAAAATTTAAATTTTTGAATCCTCTAAACATTTTTGTATCTTTAATTGGTTTATTATTAAATAAATCATGTAAAAATTCTCAGTTTCTGTTTTCAGGCAAATATTTCTTAAAGAACAAGGGTACAGAGAATGGTGCTAGTATTTATTTATATGTTTATATAACAAACTTCATTAGTCAGAATTGCAGGATGTCATTGTATCACTTTTCCTTTCTACCATGCCAAATGGCAGTTTCTAGATATCAAGCAATGTATTGTCAAGCTCCAAAAATTAGAAAACAATAAAATACTCTCAGCCATAATATTAAACACACTCCAAAAGACAAGTTTTCTAATTAGAAATTGGGTCAGTTAATTGTTAAACTTGGAACATAGAAAGAAAAATATAAGAAAATAAAATTTTCTATAATCCAGTCCCCTGTACCCAGCAGTAATTTTCACTTATTTTCTCATATCTATTAATATTCTTAAAAAATAAGATTTTTACAGGCTGTATAATATTATATTAGTATATCATAATCCAGTTCAACAAAACCTTTTTAACTAGATAAGTTAGTATTGTAGTTTTTTACTAATAAATATACAGTATCTTAGTTCATTTGTGCAGCTATAACAGAATGCCTGAGACTGGGTAATTTATAAAGAACAAATTAATTTGCTCACAGTTCTGGAGGCTGGGAAACCCAAGATCAAGGTGCCAGCAGGTTTGGCAATTCTGATTCCAAGATGGTGCCTTGAACATTGCATCCTTCAGAAGGGAGGAAGACTTCATCTTCACATGGTGGAAGGTAGAAGGGCAAAGAGCTCATTCCCGAAAGCCTTTTTATAAAGTCCTTAAACACACCCATGAGGGCTGAGCCCTAATGACCTGATCACCCGTTAAAGGTCCCAATTCCCAATACCATTACATGGCAATTAAATTTCAACATGAGTTTTGGAGGGGAGAAACATTCAAACCATAGCATACAGTATGTAGTGGTTTTTTAAAGTTAAGTTTTTCCAGTGTTTTATATCAATTATCTTTATCATAGGGGATACCAGATACACTATTTTTATTTATATTAAGTAACACCATTTAGATTTTACTTCAATTCTTTTTTTTTTTCTTTTTACTTTAAAAGGTACAGCATAAGAATTTTTAAAGATGTTTTTGTTTAAGGTTACTGGAACAGTGTATAATTACCATGAACACTGAAATTACAAAGATAGAAGCTTAACAGTCATGTAGTAAGAACCTTAAAACTTCAAAAGCTTAATACAAGTGAATCTTTTGTTTTGAACTATGTATCATCTATCAAGGGGCCTATTTTTTTCCCATTAGAATGTCTTATTAATCCATATATTCTTTTTTATGTCTATTGCCACCACCCTAATTTTAGTCTTTATGCTGTTCCTGTCACAATTCATTCATTTAACCAATATTTGAGTGTCTACTGTGTGCCAGGCACTATTGGTGCTAGAGATACATCAGTGAACAAAACAGATAAAAGTTCCCGCCCTCACAAAGCTTATATTTTGTAATAGACAGAAGCTCACCACATGACTTGTGAACTCTTACTCTGTTTATCATTATGAATTGTTTTACCTAGAACATTTCTGACACCAAATGTGTGGGGTTTTTCCACACCAACTAATAGTTCTGACCCCAAATGGGTGTCCTACAATTCAGTTCAGTTCTGATACTAATCACCTGGAGTTAGTGTAGACCCCACAGGTTGGCTCCCCTTCAGACACCAATGTCAAGTCTCAGGTTTTTACCTGCTCTTCACTGACCAACTGCCTATATATAAATTGGGGATTCCCATAACTCCCTCTTCAGGTTTGATAATTTGCTAGAATGGCTCACAAGACTCAGGGAAACACTTTACTGGTTTACACTTTTACCAATTGGTTATGCAGGATACAACTCAGGAAGGGCCAAATGGAAAGCATAGGGCACTGTATGGGGGAAGGGCACAGAGCTCCAATGCCCTCTCTGGGTGTGCCACCCTCCCAGCACCTCAAAATGTTCACCAAACTGGAAGCTCGCCAAACCGTTATCATTTAGGGCTTTTTATGGAGGTTTTATTACATAGGCATGATTGATAAAATCATTGGCCATTGGTGACTAAATTCAGTCTCTAGCCCCTCAGCCTTCCTTGGGGATGGGGCTGAAAGTTCCAACTCTGTAATCACATGGTTGGTTCCTCTGGAAACCATCTCCCATACTGAAAATATCTAGGGGCCCACCAAGGGTCACCTTATTAGCATAAACACAGGTAAGGTTGAAACAAAAGATGCTGTTATCATTCCTACCACTCAGAAAATCCTAAGGGTTTTAAAAAGTATGTCAGGAAGTAGAAACAAAGACCAAACATAATTTTCATATGGTATCACAATCGTGCTCCTAATAACAGAATGGTCTTCCTAAAATATCCCTTGTATTATGTTCTTGTTTAGAAACCTTCAGTGCCTTTTTGCTTCCTACAGGATAAAGTCCAAAATCTTTAGTTTAACATTCAAATTCTGGGTTCCTAGGCTATCTACTAAAGAGTTAAAGTTAATCTTAAAATGCGAATTCCTTGGTCCCACCTCATACCTACTGAATTTGTATTTCAAGAGAAAGCTCTACAATTTTGATTTTTAACCAGTATTGGATGGTTCTTGCAACTTTTTTTTTTTTTTTTTTTTTTTTTTTGGTTCTTGCATCTTAGAGTAGTCCCAGATCAGCAGCATCAGCATCACCTGGAAAAATTTTAGAACTACAGAACCTTAGACCCTACTTCCAACCTACTGAATCAGGATCATATATATATTCAAGTTTGGGAAGCACTAGGTAATCTTAATGCACACTTTAGAAGTTTAAGAATCACTGATTTAGTTCCAACCTATCCTTTTAACCTTCTCTCTCAAAGTTCTAGATTTATTCATTCAACATTTATTAGGCAGGGTTTCAAATATTGCTTCACATAGTCATTGAACTTGGCATATAAAGCTGAAAGAATATAACGTCTATGCTCAAGAGGCTTCCCCTTAGGGTTAAACCAATGAGGCTGCTCACTGTTACAGGTAATCAGCCTGTATCTCTTACCATCCATGTGGAATGAAAAGGATCAATATTTTGGGCACATCTATAACCCATTCTTGGTATATTAGTTGGGGAGCTTTGCCTTATGTGCTGTTATTTCTCAATATTCCATCCTAGGCACTCTTCCCACTCCACATATGCTACTTTGATAATCTCATCCACTCCCATGGCTCAGTCATAAATGACATCTGCATCTAATCAATCATACAGTCCAGGTAATTTTCCTCCTAAAAAGTCAATATCCATCTTCATGTTTCTACTCTAGTTTAAGCTACCACCATATCTTGCAAGGAATATGCAAACTTCTGAACAGGTTTTACAAGGATCAGCATGATCTGTCCCTATTTTATGTCTTGACTCTCTCTAGCCATGCATCTCCTAACATAATCTAGTCAGACTCAACTCCTGAACAGGACATGGCTGTCGGTACTTGGCCTTTGCACATGAAATCACTGACTCAACATGTACTTATCAAAGAGTTTATCTGAGCCAGTATGTATGACCTTGGCCTGGGGAAGTTCTGCTAAGTTGCCGTAGGAAGTGCTTTCCAAAGGGCCAGCAGAACTTCAGCATTTTTATAATCACAGAGACAGGGAAAACAAAGGGGAAGTGAAAGACAGCCCTTAATCAGCACGTTACTTTTTCTGTTGGCTACATAGCAGCATATAGGCGAATGATTGGTTCTCAGTTGCATCCTAGGTACAGGTGAGTAAGGGTCACAAGATACATTTTCAGCGTTCCTAAGTTAATACAACTTCTACAGGCATTTTAAAGTCTGGTTTTAGGTTAAAATAGTATTGTGGTAACTTCCATAACGTGTGGATGTCACCCCATTCTAGATTCCCCAAGGTTATTAGGAATTTAGCTGACCTCAGAGCAGATTTCTGGTTTATCATGGTCATATACCTCTTCCTAAACCAATTGTTGGCTGACGAAATAGGATTACCAAAAATGACTTAGTCATGTGTTGGGGGAACAAAATTGAGGCTCTATAGCAAGGAAGAGGGGAGGAATGATGTAACCTACTATCACTCAGACATATCCTTCTTCCTATACACACACTTTCAAAAATGCTCATTCCTACATGAAACATGTATTTCTTTCCTAAATAGATCAGCCAAAGTCTCATCCAGTTACTCTATCCAACTTCATGTCTAGGATCTCTAGGGTAATGTTATCTTTTCAGGTCAGTTGTGGCTCCCTGGTTTCTTGTCCTCTACAGCCACATCTGATAAGAACACTAGAAAGAATACTCTTTCAAAGTCTGCTCATCTTTATTTATTTATTTAAAAAATTTTTTTTGTGACCGGTAAGAGGATCGCAACCCTTGGCTTGGTGTCGCCCGCACCGCGCTCAGCCAGTGAGCTCACCGGCCATCCCTATATAGGATCCTAACCTGCGGCGGGAGCGCCGCTGCGCTCCCAGTGCTGCACTCTCCCGAGTGAGCCACGGGGTTGGCCTTGCTCATCTTTAGAATACATTTCTTAATGGTATTGTTCACCATTTTCCCAGCCTAGAGTAGTTGTGTCCTCAGTGCCTTCCATCCTGCCTCCTCCACCTAGTCAGTTGTACATACTAGGTTCTGTTTTGTAGCATTCCACTTCCAAGTGTCAAATTGTCTGTCAGTTTGAGTTTTTAGTCATAAGCAACAGAGATGGATTCTGCTTTTCAGCATAAGAGAAATTTTATTAGAAGAATATTGTGCTGCTCACAGAATGGACAAAAGGACTAGAGAATCAGCATCAATCAGCCACAAAACCAGGAATACATCCCAAAACTATACTGCACAACTGGTCCAGTAAGAAAATTGTAGCCACTGTTGCCAAGCCCTAAAACACTATACTTTGTACCAATGTCTGCTGCTTAAGGAATTTGATCTTGACCCAAGTGCTCCTGCGATCTAGAGAGAACTCACCACGGTCCTTTCTTGATTTGTTGTTGTCAACTAGATTGATTGGCAGAGCCTAGGTCAAGTGCCTATGCCTTTCACTCCAAGAAAAGTTGAGAAAGCAAGTTCAGCTTCTACAGAGGGAGGTTGGGCTCAGTGGTAACTAAAACTTAAGGTATTCTCCAAACATAAGAAGGAGCTAAATTCTGAGTAGCCCATAATAAAGACCAAC